TACTGCTTTTACACTAAAAACTTAATATAAATTTTTATAGGGTTTTAATTTACCAACAGAGTTTGCAGTACAAAAGTGAAACGACATTCAAGCTGAATCCTCCTGCTATACGAACATCGAAACTGACCTCAATGATAGAACACGAATTTAAAACAATAAAACAATAACAACAAAATAAGCGTAGGAACAAAACGTTACATAATGCTAATCAGTGATACGAAGTGTAACATTGGCGTTGACTTGTCCTTGTGAAAAATCATTGTAGCCGCCATGTAGAAGATTACGTATATGGGGATTTTGAAATAACATACGAAATTTGTTACTGGAGGAGTTATATGCTAATCTTGCCCTGTTCCCATAATTAAACGAGGGTTCTGAACTTTTCTGGCATTATCATTAATCATGAAAATAATATCGAGTCTTAAAGTATATGTGCAACGGAATGTCACTGGTATGCTCGATTAAAGCAAATGTCTGCGTGACTGGATTCGTTCGTACCCAACCTTCATAACTTCGACAGCAGAGAAGCTTGGTAAATTTGTTGTTCTACAGTGTATCTGCTTCGTTAATTAACATATTCCAGAAAACTGGAACCCGATCTTGGGCAGGTTCAATTCTGATAACTGCACCCAAGGACACCGCCCAGTCAGATGATTGACCACAACAACTTTTAATCAGTTTTTTACGCTGCACATCTATATGCATATGGCGACGTAATGCTACCAGAAGTAGACGCTATTTTTAGGTATTATAAATTATCATCATATTTGTAGGTACGACAAACGTGGACTCGAAATGTCTAAAGGCGTTTCTTCGAACCCTTCCCCATGGAACGATCCAACATGAATGGAAAAACGATTTCTGGCATATAGACGTAGAAACATTGCAATTATACAGCATTGATGATATGCCAAAGTGGAAAAAACCAGCATCATTCACCCCAGTTGGACCATGAAAGAAAATCCGGAAAAATGGCGCGAAATTTTGCACTAAGTCGCGAAAGCCCTTTAAAAAAGGCATATCCGTCATTTACTGTTCCCTAAACCTCTGAGCATAAAAATTACTTTACAGAAGCAACTTGAGTACACATCGAGTGGATTTCCTAGAGCGAACAAACAAGCAGAAAACTCGTTTCCGAAGAAACATGCACTCCGAAATGACGTAGCGACAGAAATTATAAAACATCATAAAAGGACATGAGAAAAACTGCTATGGCAATGCATATGATACTTTAAACTGCGCTTTTGCGAATTAAAGGCTGTGTTTCCTGAATGCAGCCAGATATTAACAGTTTAGATTCGCAACACAATGTTAGCTAAGATTCTCAGGTTACGTTGTTTGTTCGTTACAGTTTTTAATATAAATACTTTATACATAAGTAGCAATAAAAAACCCTGGCATATAAATTTACTAGCAAACCGGATATCAATACAGCTGGCAAGAACAACATTCTCATGTAACATTAATATAATATATCCTAATAATAGTTTATGTCATTCTTTGAATTTACATGTCGCTGCACATTGTTTTCTTATTTCTGGTAGCATAGGGGTCCGCTTAAGTCAGCAAAGTGGAAGGTTATTCGTCTGTATTCTTATATTTGATTGTTCGATTCAAACAAACTGTTTTATTTTGCACAATATGCACTGTTTAAATGCTATAGAGCCGCACGTTCTTAAATGGTTTGAATAACTACAGGCAGCCCAGGAAAGGTGCGATATTCCATTTAAGTCCGGAGAAGTGATAAGAGAATGAACGTAGCACTTCATTCCTTTAGCATAAATAGACAAATAATAAGCGAAAGTAAATGCTAACTATAAATCACAACATATCCACTATTAATTAGCCTGCCACAGAGAGCGACACCAAAGTTTCCTGTCATCCATCAATACTTCATTTGAATGCCGCTATCCCATTTTCAAGTCCGCAGAGGCACGTAACTTATTTTGGTACGTGTTTTACACAGTTTGATGTTGAATCTCGTGACTTCAATTGCCATTGGTCTCAAAGCATATTTCCTATTTTTTAGACGTGATTTGAGACGTTTCAGCACAGCGAAGCACTTGAACGAATTTTAACTTCATGCATAATACAAGGAATAGAAATACATTCTATTCTGATATCCATAACATATTTCGATACATGCTACACGATTTTTCTGTGCGAAAGATGATGACGTTTCGGCATGTCACAAGAGGGAGGACAACACACAAAACAGTCCTTTATTAATAAATTATCTAACGTTTTCGACCAAGCTCGATTAGTCATCAGAGTTGAAACACTGAGAACGGAACGAGCTGGATTTAAAGATAAAATAAATTGTAAACAGACTGACGTAAATGCAGTTTAATTCGTAGGAAGACTGGCAACAATTCGGCGGCACTTCACGGTAGAGATTTACGTGCAGGAAGGACTTAGCTTGGTGTATTTATCCCCTTTCGGACGTAGAAATTTACTGGAACACACTTAGTGGCTTGGGTGCTCAGTTGAATATAGTTTTGTCAGATTCTACAAAGGCAAATATGCTTAATCTTAAGGTATTACTCAGCTCACAATTATGTACTTCCTGAACTGGTTGTTGTAGGATGAACACCTCGTCCTTGAATCTTTTGAGGAATATCTTTACTGTTTGCTTCCTCATTATAGACATATCAAGCGTCAATTGAGTGTTCATTTACAACGTGTTTCTTTCCTCTTTCCATTCTATGACCTTACTGGCATCAGGTGAATTCATCTGGTTACCATCTGTAAATTGATTTGGATGTCTGCTACCCTTTTCTGGTGCTTACATTATTGCTTAGCAGATTTGTGCAAAATGTTCACTAGAAGAGATAGCGTCGTGCTTAGTAAACTATAAGCATATATGACAAACTATCCGGTAAACAAAGTTTAATGCAGAGACTGCAACAGAATTTACATCGGAAAAACCAACCAGGAATTGAACATCCGGATGAAATAGCACCTTTCTGCTGTCCGCCTCGGGCAGACTGACAATCCCGGTATTACACGAGGGTATTCTTCCAGTCAGACGAATGTGTCCGCTGTAGAGAAAGACCAGTCAGGTCTGCTGATAAAGTTGTTGCATATATTGGCAATAAAAATCTGGATGTGCAATGAATACACATCTTCTGTGGTAATTACCGCAAGCTGGGGTCAATTGCAAAATTGATACGATAAATCATGTTTAAGCAACAGCGGTCCAACTGTTTTAATGAGAACTTCACATAGTTTGCTGGTTAACATCCTGACTAGTAGGTTAAATAACATCTTCATCCTCCATCGCCGCTTCTATTTTCGGGTTGCGTAGTTTAATAAGATTTCGATCGTAAAATACCGTTCGCTTGTTGGGCATAAGTCCTTAGAAGCAGTCATTTGTACTTAGCCGTGTATTGATTATGCTACGGTCGATGTAGCGAAACACGTCGGCAATGAACTGTTTTACCAATAGCTGCATTTGGTGCCCTGAACCAAGAATCGTTTAAACACCTATCTATAGAGCCATGTGCCCAGAATCGAGAACCTGAAGTATTAATTGACAAACTGTTCACGTAAAAAATTGCAGTTGTACTTTGAGATAATTTAGTGTAGAAAAGTTTCTACGAAATCCAGCTCTATTGATCGACTGTTTCTTAAACGATTTAACAGAACTTTCGTCAACCGATTGCACACGTTGGATAAAACGTGAGTAGGCCTAAATTTTTCACGTGTTTCTGGTTACCTATATATCTCTTAATTCTAACAAGGCGAAACGCCATCAGAGAAGAAATTCTCATGAATGGTGCTGCCCTACAAGAAAGGTAACCAGAAACACGTGAAAAATTATAGACCTACTCGCTTGTTATTCAACGTGTACAATTGGTTGACGAAAGTTCTGTTAAATCGTTTAAGAAACGGTCGATCAATAGAACTGGATTTCGTGGAAACTTTTCTACGCTAAATCATTTCCAAGTATAGAATCCGCTGCTCGGAAGGGGCAATGCGTATGTGTGTTTGTAGATACTACTACAATGAGTCGTCTGCAGAGGCAGAGCGTCTCTGGTTTGTAATGTTCACTGTATCCGTATGATTTCAAAGCATTTACCATAAGGCATGGCTACTGCGTAGCAGAAGGAAATGTTCCTCTCCAAAAGTATATTTGCCTCTACAATGTTACTCTATTTTACATGCTGGCATCCTGGATAACATCTTTCGCGTATCGAGCTGGCTAGGGTACTACTTTATTTGTGTTTGGTTTCATGTTCCCCTTTTCAGAATAACAGGGATGCCTAAACTATATATTCACAACCAAGCATTGCACTACTTTATTAACAAGTTCATTAAACTACTAAATGCAAAATATATTTAAAATTTATAATTTGAGATAAGTCAAGCAATCGCTACGGAACTGGGCTCATCTAACAATGGAACGATCGACGTAAGAAAAGGTACGCTATGAAATCAAGCCACATGATCCGATAGGCCATGCCTAAAAACGACATTGGTTACTGACGAATCTGACTAGTTAAATGTACATCGAAGAAACCTTTCATGGCCACTGTAACCTAAAGTTGTCGGCCTTGCAAATATCATCAACAAAAATAACAGACATAAGTTCATTAGAAGTGCAGGGAACGCAGGACTGACTTATTTTTAAATTTACTCAAACACCCCACGGTATTTATATTGCATCTTCGTTGAAGCGATATCGATAACCTGCAGATTTTGATCTATTATAGGGAAAAAGTGACATGCTTCATGCAGTCGAGATTACGAACCAAATGCGCTCCCACATATTGAATTCCTAGCCACTTGCAAAGCAACAGCTCCGCAACTTACTGTATGATCACTTCAGTTAGGACATGGGTTTAGTAGCGCCCACAAAATTCTGATGATGAATTACCATTTACAATTATTATGCATCACAGGATATTGATGCCTTACCTATGCAGAAATCGTTAGAAATGAGAAGACAGCAGGTAAGAGCGCGCAATTTCAATTATGGATATGTACAGCGATAAAGACCGACGTTTACGATAGCTGACTCTTGCTTCATTTGTTGCTTTGTGTCACGAAAATATTAATTTATGCTGATAGTAAATGTAATACCCAAAAATTAATAAATAACTTCTCCTTGTCTTTCCTGCGTTCTTTGACCTCTTTGTAGACATATTTATTCATCCTGCTATTCTTATTAGCATATGGTTAGTTTTGCGGATGCCAAGAAAAATATTCAACTAATTCGAAATAAAAAAGGCCAATAAAATAATAAATCTTTGTTCAGCAAGTTTAATACACTACGCTTCTTCAGTACTTAAAACAGTACTTACTCTGCATAAAACTCGACTTTTGACAAGTGAATAAGGAACGGCACCAAACTGACGGGAATCACGAGAGTTCACAAAATTGTCGCCCTCCAGCCAAACGTGACTTTTAGGGGCATGAAAACAGAACAGTCACAAAAAATGGCATACAAGACGTACTAAACACTTACCGAAAAACGGCTGTGATTCTGTGTATCCTTTCCTTCGAACCTGATTAACCGTTTGCATAAAAATGTACTTGGCTTGTCAGGGCATACACACACAACGACATCATTCCTTTAAAGCTTGCATAAATTTTTTCCATAATTGATACGCTTCACAATATGCCAATTCAGGGCTTGAGAGTACATGGCGAATTATAACGTACAGCGAACGTTTATGCTTAGAAATCACAAACGGACGATTTTAAACGGCCAAGTGATACAACTACGGACCAACATATGCGATTGCATAAAAAACGATCTAGGCCAAAAGCTGTCAAAGCAGGACTGAAAATAAACCTGAAAGTCATGCTTAACAAATACCTGATTCCCCTCGATACTTGAAGAAGCACCATAACCACGAATATCTGAGACAGCTCATCTCTGAATGGAGAACCAACGCCGCAAATCAACAGAAAAGAAGTAAACGGGACACTTTTGGAAGACTAAAAATGTTCATGTTCAGGAAACTGCCCTCGCGCTTGAAACTGAAGGTTTGCGATCAGTGTACCATTCCAATGCTAATCTCGGGGTGAGAAATGTGAAAACTAAGTTTGAAGGCTATTCATAACTACAGACTAAGCAAAGTAGCAAGGAAAGATGTATGTCGAAATAACAAGAAATGACATAAATACGAATGAATGGGTAAGGGTGAGAGTAAAAAACTGAGATGCTGTTATTCGAATGAAGAAGTGAAAATGGCAACTATCAGGAGTCATTCGAAGAAGAGCCGAACATCACTGGACGAGAGAGACATTAAAAATAGATAGGAACTGTGGACAACAGAAGTTTATGGCAAGGCTTGGAGAGGACGTCATCCGGTAGTGAACAGAAGAAGGCTGATGATGATGACCTAGGCAAAACACGCATATACTTTATGCAGCCCAAAGAACATCGCTAAATGCAACTCCCAAAATATTTTTTGTATGTCAACGTCCTGGGTTCTGTAATATGGAAATATCACCTTTTCAGTCGCCCGAGACGCACGCTTAACGAATCGACCAACAGCAGATCCCCGTCACGAAGGGTAGGATACATCGAATAGCCCTTACACTAAAGCAAAATATAATTTTTCATTCACATTCATGGCATAAGTTAACATGAAATTATTATATAAGTCAGACGGAATTGCTAGTCTGTGAATTTTAAGAGGAACATGATGTGATGCAATCATCAAAGATCTGAACCACCAAAAGCGATCGTTCCTAAATAGGTAATGGATGCTAAGGTTAGAGTTTCGAATCAGTGAGCAAAGGAGAACTTCGGTTCCTCGCGGACAATCACTTATGGGAGAATTAGTCGACAGTTTTCAGACTGTTAATGTACGGCTGATATGAGTTTTGGATTTCGTTAAAGTCGTGACTATGACCATGTGAAACGGCTGGATAATAATAACAAATTAGCACACCTCTAACTTGCACCTCTGCATGACCTGATCGGGTCAAAACGGGTTAATTAAAAACCTGCAATCAGCACAGGTGCATCTTTAGCAAACATTTCTGTATACCATCATGAAAGACTACGAAATATATACACCGAAAAAAAAGTCATGCGGATATGCAAAAGCAATTGTACCTGTAACTCCGACTCTTTCAGAATCCCAGTAAGGAACAGTAGTATAATGAACGGTGGAGCTAAGCTCAAACTGGAAAAGTAACTAGCCGGTTACGAGTATCTAACAGCAAATGGAGGCCTGGCAGATAGTCCAATTCAAATGGAATCACTGCCAGCCAATCCGAGGTTTCCACTGTCATGCAACACTGACGGTGAACGATATGATTCGCTGTCAACAAGAAGACGAATAACCTTGTTATCGCGAAGGTGCCGAATGCCACTAAATCATGCGTCATGGAATCGCCGTTTTCTCCCAAATACTTTAGGCCCCGAAGTACCGTGAAAGACAGCTAAAGGATGTGCTGTATATGGTCCATTTAGCGGTCCGTGGATTGGTTTCCCTATGAAAATAGCAATGCACCGATTCTGCGATAAAGTTTATTCAAGGAAAAGCAACTTCATCGCCAGTAGACACTTCTCCATGACCACAGATAGAGAGGCCCTCCTATACTTTCGTTAGTTGGAAAAGTTCATGAGTCGGTCTGCACGGCGGGTGAATTTCCAGAATTTCGTCACCATATGCCAGCTGATTGTCTTTCCCAAAAATTGTGCTGTAATGCGCGAGCTTAACAGTCTTTTTCCCGTAAGTTGCTTTCCTGAACGGAATGTCGCTCTCAGTGGACCTCTTCTAGCATGTATCACCTGGCTTAGCTGGTTCTTAAATGACTTATTTTCCTAATGT